GTCCTCACCTCTCTTGACCACATATCTTTCAAATATTTCATCAGTTGTTGTAGAAAAACATCGAGAGACCTTTTTGGATGCTTCAGACCAGGTATTGATATGGTCATGGATATAAACTTCCGGCGTGTGCACATCTCCGGTGGCAGATTGTATGGCGGAAGCAAGACTGGCCACAATGAATATTATCTTCCCGGCATTCCAAATAGACTGAATCCATCTGTGCATAATCCAAGTTACACATTTCGGCTATTGCTAGCGAAATCTGGATATACTTTGTCAAAATGTTTCCAAGCTATTGCATCTGATGGATGAGTCATCTCACCCTCCATCTGAGTATCCTCGGCATGCCATCTCATTCCTCAAGCAGTCTCTTCAGATTGGTACAATCTTTTCAATCTATCTGTAATCGGTAGGTACCACATCCTTTGGTACGGTATCCTATTATGCACTCGTCCTTGTGGTTTGAATCGTGGATTCTTGCAGAATCAACATTCTTCTAACTTCTCATCATCTCCCTAGTAAATCATGCAATTGTCGATGCAAACGTCTATCATCTTCGAAGGCAGCCTAAGACTATAAACTAATTTCTGAATCACATAATAAGAATCATCTGACACATTGTCTTCCGACAAATACTCATTAAACAAGTCTACCCATGCATCCATGCAATTTTCAGGTAGATTGTGATCAGTTTTAATATTCATCATTCTAGCAGCCAACGACAGTTTAGAGAGACCTTATCCTCAACCACTGTAAATTGGCTGATTCGCAGCATCTATCATTTCATAAAAAAAAATTTCATCTATGTTACGTTCTTCAACTTCATCATGAGTTACAAATACATCACTGACCATATCATGAACCCTATCATTATCTACCTTCTGTTCCTCCTGATGGTAACTATTTTCATTATGCAAATGATCAACCGGTTCAACTTGAAAATTGATATTACTACTGCTAGCTTTATTCCAACAACTATAACTTTCTCCATGTTGAAACCAAATATAGTAATGTGGCATGAAACCTGTATTTACTAAATGTTTCCAAATATTTTCACGGGGCCTAATTTTGAATTGTTGCATTTCCGACAAGGACATAACATCTTACCGCTTTCCTGTGTGAGTGGTGTAGAATCTGCTTGATACATCCGCCTCTGATTCTTGAAAATATTTCCATCACCAGACATTTTTTTTCTTTCACGTTTTCAAGTTTTTCTCTCTTTTATGTTTTCAGTTTTTGCTGTGTTTTATTTAAAACCCAAATGACATATTTATAGGAAAGTTTTAAAGTTGGTATGTGACATTGTACCACGAATTTACAAGGAAAATTATTACACTACATACACGTCTACAACTAAAAAGTAGTTAGACTCGTTATTTTCTCGCTAAATGGTTTCCTCATAAAATACACGGAACGTTAGCGAGTACTTTACGAGGAAATACAATATGCCACGTATATTCCTCGCTAATTAACGTATTTTTTACAAGGAAACCTTTTTCTCGTTAATTAACGACAAATTTACGAGGATTCATTATCTCCTCATAAGATACTCGTAAAATACACGTAAATTTATGAGAATCCAATTTTCTAGTTAATTTTCGAGTTAAAAAATTGTTTTCTTGTAGTGATAATCTATCAAAACTATTTTATTGTTCTACTTTCAGACATAAAAATCTAATAAAATATTCAAGTGGAAAAGAGTAACTTTTTGTTATTGAAAAGAGTAACTTTTGTTGTTGTTATTGACAAAAAAAAACTTTTGTTACTGAATGTGTGTTTTCTATGATACTAGCAACCCCATTTTATAGAAAATAATAAGAAGCACACGTTTCCTTATTAACATGAAATGAAATTTTATGGTGCATGAATTTTAACCAAAAAATAAAGAGTAAATTTATTAGTATTTGTTCAATTCAAACTAAATGTAGATAGTTTTTGACTTATTTTTGATTCATCCCCTAGGATGAATGTTTAGGTTCACCAACCAATATGATGACGTTATTTCATATTTGATATCTTTTAAAAAAGGAAATAATATCTTGTTAAGTTATATTATGTTTCTTTTTTTAAAAAATATAATAATAATATTTACAAAAAATGACAAAAATATTTAATATTATATTATTTTTAAAAAATAAAAGATAAAAATAAAATAAATAACAGTAATAATTGCAAAAAAAATTTTTTAAACAATTATATATCTTTAAAATGAAAACAAAATATTGTTACGTTATATTATGTTTTTAATATAAAAAGATAAAAATAAATAAAAACAGTATAATTGGTTAGTATTAATTTTTTTATTTAATGTTTAAGATTTTCCAATGGGTTTATAATTTACCCGAGGGTTTAGGATTTAAGATTATGGTTTAGGGTTTAGTGTTTTAGTGTTAAAATATTTTTTGTAAAATTTTTTTTTTGTTTTTTGTAAATATTATTATTATTTATTTATTTTTTGTATATTTATTTTAAAAACATAATATAAGTTAATAAGATTTTTTTTTTAAAAATATATCAAATATAAAATAACACCATCCTATATATTCGTGAACCTAGAAGTTTATCCTAGGGGATAAACTCAGAAATAATTCATAGTTTTTTTGGGTTAAGGATTAATTTTCTTCTTTCTCTTTCGTTATCTTGTAAATAATTAATATCTATAAGAATCATGTAGATACATTTTCTCGATACGTTCCAACTTTGTCCGATATATCCACAAGATATATATTATATATACGTATGATTCACTCTTTCATCGAATTGATATGGAGAGAATGAGTTTGGCAAAAATCTTCCCTAACTTTGTAAAATATTCAAAACTTTCACTTAAAGTGAAATTATTATAATGCATATTCTAGAGAAGGTATGCCCAACTTGCATGATTTTATTTCAGTTTTAAAATTAATAAAGCGCTAGCAACATAACGAAGCACCCCACTTAAAATCAAGTAATTACTGAGATGTGCAGATCTATTAATTAATGACTTATTCTTGTGTTCACCCTTTAGAGTGAACAATCAATATGTTGGTGTTATTTCATATTTGATATCTTTTAAAAAATGAAATAATTTTTTTTCAAGTTATATTATGTTTTTAAAATAAAACTAGAAAAAATAAATAAGAACAATAATATTTACAAAAAATGAAAAAAATTCTTTAAAAATATATTTTAACATTATATTATGTTTACAAAAAAAGGTAAAAAAAAATAAAAAAAATCAATAATTGCAAAAAACAATTTAAAACAAAAAATATTTTAATATATCTTTAAAATAAAAACCTGTGTTTAAAATAAAAAGATAATAATAAATAAAAAACAATATAATTGGTTAGTATTAATTTACCCAAGGGTTAAGACTTTTCCAAAGAGTTTATGATTTACCCAAGGATTTAAGGTTTAGGATTATGGCTTAGGATTAAGGTTTAGGGTTTAGTATTAGGGTTTAAGGTTTTAGGATTAGAGTTTAGGGTTTAGTGTTTTAGTATTATATATTTTCTTAATTTTTTTTACGTTTTTTAAATATTATTATTTTCTATTTATTTTTTCTATTTTTATTTTAAAAACATAATATAACTTAACAAGATTTTATTTTCTTTTAGAAAATATATCAAATATGAAATAACACTATCCTATTGGTTGCTGAATCTAGAGGTTCACCCTACGGGGTGAACCTAAGAATAACTCATAATCAATATAGTAAATATATTGTGTCCTACACTTACATTACTGATAAACGCACTCAGTATATCCATTTTTAATAAAAGTTACATATGCTCGTCTGGTTTTATTTTCGATTAATTATTTCAAATAACACTCTTTACGAAATAAATGAAATACATATAATTAGTTAACTAGCCGTTGAAATATATCTGTGTTTGTGTTTATGTTAATTGCATCATCATGCACAGGGTGACTCCAATTTATAACATCTCTAATATGGTTAGCGCACCACGAAACAAAACCACTCACTTCAAAGCATTTTTGCAACATCAACCAGATAATTCTTCTGCGGATCTTATACTAGTTAATATCTTTTACAAAAGAAAAATAAAATTTTCTTCTGCGGATGAGGACGTAAGCATGGGTCCAACTCTAGTTCTCTTGTCACTTGTATATTATTCACTCATTCACCTGTCTTTTTGATTTCCCTAAAATGAAAATCAGACTAATTAAGTATGTGATATCGGGGGGTTCAGTCAAAAAAAAAAAAGAAAATCGGGGGGTTGTTTGTTCACTGATACGAATTCATTTTCATCGGCTTGTTTTAATTTATTACTAGATCAACCCGCGCAACCGCGCAGGTATTTATTTTTATATAAATAATTTTACTTATAAATTGATATATATTATATAAGGGGGGTATATCAAAAATGATGATTAATTATTATATGGTATAAATTTATTATTATTAGAAAATGATGATTTTGTTATTTTTAAAAATAAACTATATAACTTTTAAAGTTAACATCAAAAATATATAAATAACTAATTTATATTATTACAATATTAAATTATATAAGTTTAATTTAAACATGTATTTTATTATAATATCTATAAATCCAATGGATCATTTAATTTTTATTAGTCCAATTAAAATTTCTAGTAAGCCCAACAAATGTTATTAGTAAATCTAATGAATGTTATTAATGATTAAATAATATAATGTCATAAATTCTATTAGATGGTCCATTTTAAAATATAACACATAAAGTGAAATCATGACTTCTCTTTTAATATATAAGATTTTTAAAGTTAACATAAAAAATATATAAATAATTAATTTATATTATTAAAATATTACATTATATAAGTTTAATTTAAACATGTATTTTATTATAATATCTATAAATCCAATGGATCATTTAATTTTTATTAGCCCAATAAAAATTTATAGTAAACCCAATAAATGTTATTAGTAAATCTAATAAATGTTATTAATGATTAAATAAGATAATGTCATAAATTATATTAGATGGCCCAAGGTTGTGCTCGACTGCGGCATGAGTCATTTCGTCCTTGTGACTTATCGTAATGCCTTTGCCGCGGCCGCTATTGCACCTTTCACCCTTCTCTCCGAGAGGTAAAATATCTATATATCGAAATGTACAAAGTTCGATTTACAATGGATACTTAAGCTTTAAGATGAGATTGGCAAAAGTAAAAACTATTTGGATGTTTTAGGAAAGCGAAGCCGAAGATGACGTTCCCATTATTCATGCAAATATTTGTACTCTTCTTGGGTTAGTCTTCTTTGATTTGAATCATTTTTAAATAATTCGCTTGACATGTATGTAAAAATATTTATTTTCTGAATTTCTTAGAACAGGCCTGTGATCGATCAGAACTTATATTATGCTGGTCTTAAACTCACTTCACCGACGTTTGCTGGCGCCGTCACGAACATCGTGCCCGCTTTGACCTTTATCATTTCCATAATTTGCAGGTACCTAAATTTAAATCATAGCTTAAAAAATAATTATATAAAGTGGAAGGTAAATACAATAGGATACAATATGGTACTTTGATAAATGATATATGGTTCAACTGTTTTGGTGATAAAAGGATGGAGAAGGTGGAGATGAGAAAAGTAAGATTCCAAGCAAAAGTGGTGGGGACATTAGTGATAGTAGTTGGAGCCATGTTGATGACACTATTCGAAAGCCCTTTAATCAACTTTCTCCGGTCTCACCTCATAGGTGATGCTTCGTCGCCGGCCGTTGAGGACTACCTCAAGGCCACCGTCTTCCTCCTCATCGCCTCATTTTCTTGGGCTTACTTCTTTGTTCTTCAGGTAATTAAATTTTCGAGATTACATAAGTTGAGAAATTGTCTAAATTTTTTTTTATAAAATAAAAATAAAATAAATACAAGTTTAATTTGCGATATGTTTGATTAACATTTTGTTCTACCGAGTTAAGAATTTGTTTCCTTAGGCGGCTACGTTGAAGAGGTACTCATCTCACCTTACATTATCTACAATGGTGTGCTTCATGGGAACGTTACAGTCCACAGCCCTAACATTTGTAATTGAACCAAACCTTTCTGCATGAAACATTCGATTTGACATGAACCTTCTAGCATCACTTTACGCGGTTCGTCCTTCTTCATGACATATATAACTTTATGTAATATATCGAATTATAATACTTTTGTAGAACTATGAACAATAATACTTAGTAATGTGATTTGTGAATGTGTACTTTTATAGGGTATAATGTCGTCGGGGATAGCGTATTATGTTCAAGGGGTGACGACGAAGAAAAAAAGCGCTGTTTTTGTCACTGCTTTTAACCCTCTTATTGTAATAATCGGATCCATCATTGGCTTACTTATACTCGGCCAAAGATTATACCCTGGCAGGTAAGTAACCAATGAACTTTTTCACTTATTATGTCACATGGCTCCATCCTCATATTGTCTCTAAACCATTACTATTTTTGGTTATCCATTTCTGAAATCTTAGGGTTCTTGCAATGGCGATATTAATGGTGGGAGTGTGTGTGATTCTGTGGGGAAAGGAAGGGGATGAAGAAGAGAACAGTGAGGATACATTTGTAGAATTTATTAAAGGTTGTATAGGCTGTAGAAACAATATGCCAAGAATTGATGAGGAGGTAGATGTTGAAATGGGGAAAGCTAAAATGGTGGTGGATTTGTTGTAGTCTAGTATGTAGAAAAAATGTTCACATGCATTTATTAGATGTTTTTAGTTCCTCTTTTTTTTTCTGTTAGATAGAGGAGCAACTTTTTCTTTGTATTATATATATCGTGCTCCAACCTTTTGCTTTTAGGCTGTATAATCTTCTTATTTAGTAGGGAAATCATGATTAAATAGATGTCTTAAATCTCTTAGACCAATCAGAGTAATAATCTCGTTCAATCCAGTTCACCAGCCCACTATAATTCAAATGAGTTACTATTGAGGTGATGAGAGTTTATTTGTGATGGAAATGATTCTACGTACTCTCATAATAATAATTGTTATGAACATACACACTTATATGATGAGACGATGGCAAGAAGCCACAATGAGTCCTAAGAAAGTGATGTTGGAGTAAATATGGACAAATTAGGGGTTTTAGTGATAAATCCCCCCCAACGAAAAATCTTTCGTAAAAAATCTCTCCAATTTGTTATCTTGTAATTTTAACTCCTCAAGTTTTATTTCGTTAGATTTGTTACCTCTGTCTATTGTTCTGTTATTTATGGATGAATAGTTTACGCAAAGTTTCATTTTAGTGATAAATTTTCGCAATTAATGATTTTTTCTTAAAAAAAGTTCATAACTTGTTATCTTATAATTTTAACTCCTCAAGTTTTATTTCGTTAGATTTGTTACCTCTGTCTATTGTTCTCTTATTTATGGATGAATAGTTTACGCAAAGTTTTATTTTAGTGATAAATTCTCCCAATTAATGATTTTTTCTTAAAAAAAATTCATAACTTGTTATCTTGTAATTCAACCCTTCAATTTTTTTTTTACGTTAGATTTTGTTATCCTCTGCCTATTTTGTTATTTATTTATTGATGGATATCATTTACACAATGCAGAGTTTCATTTAAATAAAAAACAACATGTTTTTTTTTAAATGAAACATGGTACACAACAAAGCTCAAAATCCCAAATCGAAAATTAGATCTTCCTAGATAGCAATGAAAAAACCATAAAAGATCATAAAAACATTGAAAATACCATAAAAACTAGTTTGGTTTGGTATGAATCAGTTTTGGATCGGTTTATTTGATTTGACTCGGTTCGATTCGGGGTTTTTTGGCCCACTCCTAATAAAAACAGAACATTGAAAAAAACCATAAAAATAGAGCGGGCAACACGAATTTTTTTGTCCAAGTTAGCTTTATATTTTCAGTGCTACCTTTTAATAGTTTTTAAATGCTTTTATAGTCTTTTCATTGTTATATAGGAATACCTAATTTTCGATTTGGGATTTTGAACTTCGTTGTTTGCTCTTTTTCGTTTAAAAAAGAAAACATGTTGTTTTTAGGTTTAAATGAAATTATGCTTTGTTTGTTAATGATATCCACCATAAATAACAAAATAATAGACGGAGGTAACAAAATCTAATGAACTAGAACTTGAAGGATTAACTTACAAGATAACAAGTTGGGAGAATTTTTTTTCCGAAAAATCTTTAGTTGGAGGGATTTATTACTAAAATGAAACTCTTGTTGTATGTAAACGGTATCCGTCTACAAATAACGAAAAAACAGACGGAGGATAACAAAATCTAACGGAATAGAACTTGAGGATTAGAATACAAAATAACAAGTTGGGAGGATTTTTTTCTAAAAAATTTTAGTTGGAGGGATTTATTACTAAAATGAAACTCTTCTTGTGTGTAAACAGTATCTGTCTACAAATAACGGAACAACAGACGGAGATAACAAAATTTAATGGAATAGAACTTGAAGGATTAAAATACAAGATAACAAGTTGGAAGGATTTTTTTATGAAAAAATCTTTAATTGAGGAGATTTATCACTAAAAACACGACAAATTAAGCTAAAAATGTAAGGATATACTATCAAGACTATCCATAAACCATAACATAAAAATGATGACATTTTCTTATTAATATCTTTTGGATCTTCTAGACCATATTTTTTTTTGTCAACTCTTCTAGACAATATACAATTTACTCTTTGCTACAAAACAAAATAAACGTATGCGTTTTGCAATTAGTTGTCAATAAAACGCATTACCTTTATAGTAAATACATGTAAACGCCTCAATGCATAAGAAACCACACTTCTCAATAAAAAAAATCTCAAACTGTTACAACTATCTCCTACATATGTATACTCCCCAGGTTAAAAAGAAATGCAAAGACAAACAATTGTAAGTCACTGAACACTTCGCAATACAAATATATATTTATATCATGGACAAATCCATGGCTGCAACCTTATTCACAATAATCGCACTGGTTACATTCACATCTACAGCCACTGGTTTAGGTCAATATCCTGAATCAGACCGCTTGGTTGACCAATGTATGGCGAAGATATCTTCAAGATGTGCAATATATACCACTGCTGAAATGTATGGACATGGTCCGTTGAAACAAAATGGATGCTGTCAAGAAATTTATTATATGGGACAATTTTGTCTTAACCTTGTGACAAGGCATGTAATCGAGGCCCTTGTACCCAAGCTTGAAGGTGTTCAAAAACAAGACATTGTTGAGAAAAGCACTCAAATATGGTATCTTTGTGTCCCGGTTTAATTTATTATCATAAATATCTATTATTTGCTTAGAATTATTCTATTCCTGATTGATACGTGCTCAAATTACTCTAAAAACACTTATTTTCTCAAATAAGAGATCTATTGTAGTATTTAGAGATCGAATTCATAAGGAATTAAAGAACCACTTAAATCTAATAAGCAATAATACTAGATGAATATTAAATGTAAAATCGCAGTAAACAAGTAAACATAAAATAGAAAATATTCTAACTGAGCAAGACAATTACTCGACAAAATGGAATAAGGGTTTTGAACTTAAATGGAAAGACGCTAGACTTATGGCTTTTATTCAGATGTTGGAGATTATAATCCTATAGGTGCTAATTAGTTGTTTGCATGGTATTAAAGAGCTTAACTATCTTAATAACATATTCACTAAAATTTCACTTAATAAATAAGTCTATTGACTAGAATGTTATTGACCCAAACAAGAATGTCTGATCAATAACAGTGTCGATCGATTATTCTATAGGAATATCGATCGATACATTTTACACGACGTCGATCGATTTCCAATAGGAATATCAATCGATGCGGCTAGTCAAGTGTTATACGCGAGTTAATCTACACCCACTATGGATCCCCTAGATCAAACGTTCGCTTGCTATCTAGTAAAACTCCTAGCTTAATCAGGATGTGTTCAAGACTATCAGAGTTATCTAAGGATGTTTAAACGACCTAACAATCTTAGATTCAGGTTTCTAGTTAGCAAGTCTAGAACATAACCATTAAGAACATCCTATTAATGAGTACCAGAACAAGTGATCCTATAGTTGGACCTAATCCCATTAACCTATTTAAACCTTAGTTCTAACAAGTGAATAGCTCAGACATTACTAAAAAAATCATAACACAAGCAAAGTAATAAAACTGAATAATTATAGATAGATAGAAATCAATGGAGTTCCAATCACAAATCTATCTGTTGATCTTTTCTCCCAAACTATAAATCCTAAAAAACCCTTTTGCTGTGAAAAGAATAAAAAAGCTCTCTCTACCTCTAACACTTTGGCAGAGTATACAAACTTCGGTTAAAACTCGTCATGGTATAATCGTAATTTGGTGACGTTTGGACTTCAAGTCGTCTATCTCGTGAATTGGTCTTCCGTGCCTTCGGCATCGATCGATTATGCTGAGTGCATATCAATAAAACTGCATAATTATAGATAGATAGAAATAAATGGAGTTCCAATCACAAATCTATCTGTTGATCTTTTCTCCCAAACTATAAATCCTAAAAAAACCTTTTGCTGTGAAAAGAATAAAAAAAGCTCTCTCTACCTCTAACACTTTGGCAGAGTATACAAACTTCGGTTAAAACTCGTCATGGTATAATCGTAATTTGGTGACGTTTGGACTTCAAGTCGTCTATCTCGTGAATTGGTATTCCGTGCCTTCGGCATCGATCGATTATGCTGAGTGCATATCAATCGACGTGAGTCACTCCGTGCCGATCTCGTTGTCTTGGTCGATTTCGAAATCGAGTGATTTCTCCAATTCTCTTTAAAATTCTCTAAAACATCACTTTCTTCCAAAATACCCATGAACCTATAAATATGCTTAAAAGTTTCTATATTATAATAAATAGTTATAGAAACACCAATATACCATGACTAAAAGTGGGTCAAAATCATGGTATATCACTAATTTATCGCAATTGAATAATTTCAATCATTGGGATAAAATAATTAAAAAAATAGAAATTTCGGACAAACAATCTTCGTTTGAACATCTAACTTTGTGAATGCTACATGTCTACATGGGAAATATGTTGTGAATCAAAGAGTAAAAGGGGAATTTGAGATGTTTATTTCATAATCATAAGGTGCCTTTATATAGGGAGTTATAAGTTCCTAGAAAAGAAAAAACCTGAACCAACTAGGAAAAAATAATAATACAAAACCTAATACAACATGGAATAGGAAAAACACCAAATCCTAATCCAATAAGGATTAGGGATACTCGGCCGACCTAGAATCTTAATGGGCCAGTCCGGTACGGTTCCAGTTCTGGTTCCGGTTCCGGTTATGGCAATCCACGATATGGTTTATAACACTCCCCATTGGATGCCATAACCATGTAATACGCTTTGGATGTTTCCTCATTACAACCTTTCCAGGAAAAACCCAAACCCAAAGGGATAAAATCGGGTAAAACTATGGATAAAGAAAAAGAGTACAACACGTATTACTCCCCTTGTTTTGTACCTCACTGAAGGTCTTTAAGCCAATGCATTCCTATCTGATGCGTGAGTTTCTTGAATGTTGAGGTTGGAAGTGACTTGGTGAATAGGTCTGCTGAATTGTCACTTGAACGGACTTGTAGCACTTGGACCTCACCGGTTTTCTGTAAATCGTGGGTGAAGAACTTGGGTAGAATGTGCTTCGTCCTATCTCCTTTGATGTAGCCGTCCTTAAGCTGAGCAATACAAGCTGCATTGCCCTCGTACATGATGGTCGGTTCTTTTTTGCGTTCGGTCATCCCACAATCTCTTCTAATATGTTGGGTCATGGACCGCAACCAGACTAACTCACGGCTGGCCTCAAGGATGGCCAATATCTCGGTATGATTGGATGATGTGGCCACCATTGTTTGTTTCATGGACCGCCAAGCTACAGCAGTACCACCGTGGGTAAAAACATAGCATGTCTGAGATCGAGCATTGAGTGGATCCGAGTTATAACCTGAATCAGCAAAACCATTTAACCCTTCTTTGGGTTTGTTAGTATAATATAGACACAAGTCTTTCATTCCTTGTAGGTAACAAAGAACATGTTTAATCCCGTTCCAGTGCCTTTGGATCGGACATGAACTAAATCTAGACAATAGGTTCACAACAAAACATATGTCTGGCCTAGTATGACTCGCCAAGTACATTAAAGCTCCGATGGCACTGAGGTACGACACTCTAGGCCCGAGGACTTCTTCATTGTCCTTCTTGGGACCAAACAGGTCCGTGTCCAAATCAAGTGATCTCACGACCATGGGGCTCGACAATGGGTGAGATTGGTCCATGTTAAATATTTTTAGCACTTTCTCTGTATATGTTTTTGATTTACAAGAATTCCATCTTTAAGATATTCAATCTGTAAGCCCAAACAGAATTTTGTTTTGCCCCAATCTTTCATCTCAAACTCTTTCTCAAGGTATTCAACCGTTTGGGAAATTTCTCCAGAGGTTCCTAGGATATTCATGTCATCAACATACACTGATATGATTACAAAGCCTTTGTCGAATTTCTTTATGAATATGCATGGGCTGATTGGGTCATTCTTATAGCTCTTTTTCACTAAGTACTCACTTAGTCTATTGTACCACATTCGATCTGATTGTTTCAAACCATAAAGTGATTTGTTCAACTTTATACAATGTTGTTCTCGGGAACTTGCTTTGTCTTTCAGTTCAATTCCCTCTGGTACTTTTATGTATATCTCATTATCCAAGGGACCATATAAATATGTTGTTACTACATCCATTAACCGCAGGTCTAAGTTCTCTCTTATGGCCAGACTTATTAGGAATCTAAAAATAGTAGCATCCATCACATGAGAGTATGTCTCCTCATAATCTATTCCTGGTCTTTGTGAGAATCCGTGTGCAACTAGTCGTCCTTTATATCTCGCGACTTCATCATTTTCATTTTTTTTCCTCACAAAGACCCATTTATGTCCAACTGGTTTAACATCAAAAGGTGTCTGAATTATAGGACCAAAAACATTCCTCTTCTTTAAAGAATTGAACTCCACGTTTATAGCTTCTATCCGTTTGATTCAATGTGATCGTTGAGTGCACTCATAGATAGACGTGGTTCATGATCCTCGTTCATGTCCATAATTTCAAGTTCTACGTTGCATGAAAATATATCATCAACGTCGACATTCTTTATGTTCCATAGTATTCTAGACATGACATAATTGATTGAGATCTCATTATTATCATGAACATCAGTACCATGAAGTTTGGCGTCCCAAACCTCATTGTTTGACACATTAGGTTCAACCGACCTATTAGGGTCGGCCGGCTCGGCCGGCTCGTCCATGGCTAGGGTTCCCTAGACCGCGGGTTCAGTTGCAGCACCTTTCTTTAATTTCTGAGGGTTCTTATCTTTGGAACCTATTGGTCTACCACATTTCAAACGTGCTATAGACTCTGTAGAAACTTGACTGTGTCCTTCTTGGACATCAATATGAATTGGTGCATTCACAACTGGCATATATGACTTTGTTACTCTATTCGGGTCAGCAAAAGAATCTTGCGATTGATTAGCTAGCTTTTGTAAGTGTATTATCTTATGGACTTCTAAATCACACTCTTGAGTCTGAGGATCTTGCCAGGAAAAAGATGGTTGAGACCATGAAATTCTTTTACTAGCTTATTATTATCTCCTCCTAATGTTGGATAGTTGGATTCATCAAAATGACAATCCGCGTACCTTGTCTTAAGCAAATCACCCGTGGTTGGCTCAAGGTACTTAATTATGGTGGGAGATTCATATCCAACATATATCCCCATCCTCCTTTGAGGTCCCATCTTAGTTCTCTGTGGTGGAGCTATTTTTACATAGGCGGCACAACCAAAAGTCTTAGGATGGGATATGTCTGGCTCGTGACCCGTAAGCAATTGGGATGGAGAACTAGATGGCCTGATGCGAATTAGTTTGGCTGCATGTAAAACTACATGTCCCCAAGCTAAGACCGGGAGTTTGATCTCATAAGTAATGGTCTAGCTATTAGCTGTATGCGTTTAATTAAGGATTCGGCCAAGCCGTTTTGTGTATGTACATGTGCTACAAAATGTTGTACACTTATTCCTATGGACATACAATAATCATTAAACGCTTGGGACGTGAATTCACGAGCATTATCAAGGCGTATAGTCTTTAAGGGAAAATCTGGAAAATGAGCTCTTAAACAAATCATCTGAGCAAGTAACCTTGCAAAAGTATCTAAATGTCCCACGGGGTGGGTGTATTAGTCC